GATTCGTACCACTAAAGGCGATGCCGGAAGAGGCTACCACACACGTCTGGATCACGGTGTTTTCCTGGCGGGTGAAGGGCTGCCTCAGCATGCCGGATTTCTCGAGCACTTTAGTCCATGTTTTGACAAAGAAGAAACCCAGAAGTCCGGCCGACACGTTTAACGATGGTATAATCCCAGTTGTGAGGTTGAGCTTCATCACTATGAAACAGAACATTACAGACAGCAAGAAGCTGACTGCAAAAGCTCTTAGTGTCAGCTGTTGTCTCCATGAGGGAACCTCAGTGTTCTCAAATATCCTCTCCACAGACAACTCTTCCTTTTTATCTTCAAATTCTCTTGCAGCCTCATTTAAAACTTTTGGGCTCCCATTTTCCATCTTTTGTTTGTCACTCCTGTTTACAATGTGGATAGTGTTTTATTTTCTTCTTCTTGGGAATAGAATGATTGAGGAATCTTTTGGTGGGTGGTTTTGTACATAAAGATGGATTTGGAATATCTGTATTTTTAGTAGTGGACTGGAGTGGTACCACATGTCCATGTCAAAGGTGGGAAAATGAAGCCAAATGGTGTTAAATGCATAATGTGACCTTTAAGTTTTGGATTTTTTTAAGTCAACTCAACCTCATGAGCTTGACAGTATCAATATGAGATCCACAAAGTATGTAAAAAAGCCAGCCACAAATTATTCTTTTTCAGTAAACAAAGGAAATGGTAATCATTTCAGAATTCTCAATCACAAAATAGAGCAATTCCTTTGTATTTGCAAGTGGCATTCTGTTTGCGTTGATCCCGGGGCAAAGACAAGAGAATTCTACAAAGCTTAGTTTATATACTATAATGACTATGGTAATTAAATAAGCACAATTATTTCTGGATAGAATAGTTAGAAAATGCAATTATTATAATAGTTGAAATGGAGGCAAAGTCAGTGAAAGGAGACATTAAATACTAGTTGAATGTGTAAATCAAATGCTGAAAATACAACATATATGATAGGTTTAATTAACTACATGAAGATGATTTAGTTAATACTACTATTTAACATAGTTCTGTCTGTCTGTGATGTAAGTTCACACTGTACTAATTTCTTAGGATATAATATTGGTGATCTGAACTACCTGCCTGTTACCGATTATTAGTGTGAAGCCCCCCACAAATTCATTTGTTGGTTATAACAATATAATTGAGCAGAAAATGAAGTTTATGTGCTGATATGATCATATTTCTTGTATGATATCACCTAAGGCCTAGTTTTTAAAGTTTGGGGCACTTGTTTAAATCTGATTGGGAACATCACAGTCATGATGAGTTGGTGGTGAGACCCAAAGAGTGAATGCCAACAAAAAAAACACATATTTCCTTCTACTTTGTACAGTATTCCTAGTTTTACCAAGTCTTTGTGGAAAATAAAAGAAAATGAGATCTGTCAATTTAGCGACATCTTAAATGTTATTGGTGGGTGGTGTTGGATGCCTTGGCTTCTTATGGTGTTGGATGCCTTGGCTTCTTAGCTTCATCTTAGCTGTATGCATATGAGCGTCTTGGCCCTAAATAAGATAGAGCAAAATTTATTGGTGAAGTGCAACTTGCACTACAACAAAAAGGGACTTATAGAGACATAAATATGATAACTTTTTTAATAAGTGTAAATAAAATCAAAATTAATGCGACTCTTTTTAAAAAGCATTACAAAGACAAATAATAACGACGCTTTTGAAAAAATGTAATCAACATGCCCATGTAGCTCCTTTATTTCTTTCTCTTGATTTGTAATCATTTTCCTTTTTTCTGTATAGTGTTCTGCAGTTAACTGTATTATTGTTATTATTATCTGTTTGCATACGAATTGCAGATGCAGGCTATGCAGCTATATCTATCAACAGGAACCACATTTTCATCTCTGCCCATTTCTTTCTTATATCTTCTCCTTAAATGTTGTGTCCTGTAATATTTATTGCAAATCTATCACTTATCTTCCAAGATTATGATATATCGAATTGTCGATGCTTTATTTACAAAGTACAAATGTCCCCTCTTGGAGCTGTACTTTCCAAAGAAAAATATTAACTGGCACTCGCTGTATTTTATTATCCTTATATGCCCATTCCACCCTGATTCATGAGGAAAAAGGAGCTAAAGCCTTGAAATGATTGCCACTGATGACACAGTTCCATAAAACATTATCCTGAGCATATATCTCATTCAAAGTGTCAACCTATCTTTAAAACAAGCCAAGCTACATTCTCAGTGTATCTTCAACTATTGGTGCACTTATTCGTAAAATCCGATGCAATTTGAGCAAATGCTTCATTGCTAAATTGGCCATTCGAATGTCTTGCACCCACCAAGAAAAGCACCCCATATGGCTACATCGATCGGCTTCATAGGCATATTTTTTTACGAAATCACAAGCCTCCTGAAGTAGACCCCACGGCTTAATAGATCGATCAGGCAACCATAGTGTTCAGTTTTCACTCCTGGAAAACAACTCTTTTAAGTTCTCTCTTGTCATGTGGGCAGAAAATTCATTTATCAAACCATATGGCTACTAGCATTCAAGAGGCCTAACAAAGGTGACCCCGGTTAGTCTTCATCCCCATCTGAATCAAATCATCAATTAAAATTAAAAAAACGAGAGAGAGAGAGAGAGAGAGAGAGAGAGANTTAGATTATTTTGATTATTAGCCCGTATGATTTTTAAGTTAGTCCATTTTATTTGAATCAGCCCAAGACAACAACAAAGCCCACAAAAAAAAAAAAAAACAAAAAAACAAAAAAACAAAAAACATTGATGGGCTTGTTAAAACGAACGACTCACTTCTCTTCTCACACACACGCTTCTCAGTTATCACAGACGGGCTCTGTAAACCCTGATATCTCAAGACTCTGTTAAGCGGCTTTGTACTCGCAAGTTTCAAGCCTTTCTAATCTAACCCTGTTCTCTCAAGCGTCGCAATCTAATCTAACCCTGTTCTCTCAAGCTTCTGCGACGGTGAACGGCGCATCTTCCATCTGGAGCCAGCGACGAGGAAGCTAGATTTGCAACATGCGAGACTGGTGTGCGGGTGCGGCAATTTCAGTGGGAGTTCGGGACCTTCGAGGATCGAGCGGCGGGCAACAACCGGCAAGTCAGCGGGAGCGAGAGTGACTCCGAGGTAACGACGGCTGAACTTGAACGGCTTATTCGTTAATTTTGGTTTGTTGTGTATGAATTGAAATGTGATGTCAGGTGTGAATTTTATGAATTAAGATGTGGTGACTTGTTCGTTCAATTATTTCTGTTTGTATCTTTGTTCTGTAATCTTGAGGTTGATTTAATTTTAGTGTGAATTTGTTTGTCTGATTGTTTCTTTGTTATGCCATATGCGAAATTTAAACCTTAATTAATTTTTCTCCCAGTCTATTGTTTGTCATATGTGAATTGAATTAATTGGTTTGTCTCCCAGTTTGTGGATTGTGAGGCTATGGGCCTGTGGCTTTATTTGTTTTCTCACTAGTTTTAAAAATTTATGTATAAGTTTGAGATCAATAAGGAAACATTTTTTTTACTTTTTAGCTTCAATATATGTGTTAATACTTGTTTATACGTGTTAATGTTGTTGATAATATATTCGATGCTTTAAGGGGTGTGGATGCGTGCTTGGCATTCGTAATAAGATTGTGTACAAAAACTCATAAATTGTTCTTGATTACTTTTTTTTTTATGTATTTTTTAGTTTGTTTATATCATCTTAAATGCAATTAAATATAGGGTCAAGTTACGAAGAAAAGATAGACTATCAATTCGTTCTTTTTAAGCCGAAAGAGCACATGTCGAAGATCGCAATTCATTAGCCCCGGGTATTTCAAAATCCTGGCTCCGTGCACCATTTATCTTACCACAGGATGCATATAAATGGACTTACATTTAGCAGAATAATGTCGACCAAAGCCCGAGTTTTTTTTATTTTCATCAAAAAGCAAGTATCAATCACCCCACGGGAAATATACTGCAATATTAGACATGCCTTGAGCTCAAATGGGGTCTTAATTTATAAAATGCCTTGAGCTCACAACATGAATTGGAAATGAGGAAGAAATAAAAATCAGTACTTTCTTGCCAAATGAACTGAAAAGGAAGCATCTTTATGCAGATAAGAACTTGAACTGGGGATAGGCATGATTTAGTGAGAGAAACTGCAAGAAAATGACCAAAATTGTAAAATTTATATAATATATGATTTTTTCTTTTTCCAACAAAAGAAAGTAGAGTATGCACAGACCCGGTTAGCACAATTTAGGTTCAGCCGGTTTAAGTGCTACGCCTCTCTGCTCTATCTCAACTAGTAAAACATGTGGATTTTATAAGAAAATAAGAAACTAAGAGAAACAAAAATACTAAATCATAATTTAATTTAAGAAAAAATATTAATTAAAAAAATAATTCTAAATATTATTAAAAAATATTTTATATACAACATTTATATTTTATATACAATATTTTAATATAACGCCATAGAAAATTTGACATCTCTTGATCATTAGGTAATGCTTTTTAGTTAAATGACATTAGTAACATAATATTGCACCATAACATTTGGATTGAGAATAAGAAAAAATATATAAAATTAGAATATGGCAACATGATAATGAGATATATTGGTGTTTGAAATATAATTCATTATTAATGATTTACACTATTAGATATATTGTTTTTTCTTGTAGGTGAATATATATATATATAAGTAGATGACTGGATATTTTTAGTTTTATTTTTTAATTATTTGATTTTGTAATTTTGGAATCTGAATTATTGTGTGAATCATTTTTACGTACTCAAGCATAAAAAAATTGAATATATATATATATAATACATATATAAATAATTATTTTGTTACATTCATTCAACAAATAAGTAAAGCGAAAAGGAAATAAGCATGAATTCTATCATATCATATCGAAGAATGAACATTACATCATTTTGGAATCTGAATTATTGTATAGAACTATTTTTATGTAATCAAAATAAATGAAATTTGAAAAGGAAATAAGTATGAATTCTTCCAGCGCTCAGATCAAATAATGATTGTTACATAATGTGATTGATGGGGAAGGGTGATAAAAAACATTACACAATTGAGATGAGTAAAGAAAAAAAAAAGAAAAATAAATAAATTAAATGTTCTGTAACCGATTTTGAAGGAAAGTGAAATAATATTATTAATTGTGTTGCTCCTCTTTATATATATAGATATAGATGTGAAAACTAATAAAATAAAATTGAATGCTGAATGTAACAGTTTTAGGTGATATGTGAAAACTAATCTATACTTATTAGCAGTGTCAAACGGGCCGGTCCGGTCCGGCCCGCTCCGGCCCGCGCTGGCCCGCGGTTCAAACGGGGCGGGCCAAAATGGCCCGCATTTCTACGGGCTGGGAAATCCATGGCCCGTGGCCCGCCCTCATTAGCCCGCGGGCCAAATCGGCCCGCCCGCGGGTTTTTTGGTATTATGTACTCTTATATACTTTTTAATTTGTTTATCTTTATATTTACTAGTATATTAATAAACTAGTAAGGCTTCATGTGTAATGATGTTAAATATTTGTCATCCAGTTTTTATTTTTATTTTTTTAATGAATAATTATAGAGTATTCACGCAGAGGAGAGACTTAATTCACATAAAATATTATTTAATTTATTAATATTTTTATTATGTAAAAAAGTGTTTCATGTGCATTCACAAATCTTGATATCATTGTCAAATTTTAAAAAATATAAAATAAATAAATATGGAAGAAGAAGAAGAAAAAAAAAAGAAAGACGATAAAGACAAAATCCAACAAACTAAATAAGTCCATCAATAGAAGTAAAATAAGAAATACTAAATTTAAATAATATAAAATTAACAAATAAATAAATAATAAAAAAACGGACTGGATCGCGGGCCAAATAGGCCCGCGATTGAACGGGCTGGCCAAGCAAAGGCCCAAGCCCGTCCATTTAGGCGGACGGACGGGCCAGCCCGCGGGCCATGTGTTGGGTTCGTTAGTACCGTACGGGCTATATGCAGCGGAATTTAAAATTTTTAAAGTAAGTATTTATCGTATAAATACAACACCCATACATACTAATTGCGAATTAACAGATCGTCATCTTTAAAATATGCATCATATACAAATTTTGATTTGTTATAATAAAGTAAATACTAATACGAAATATTTACCGAGTGTCTTGAACTCCTTCAACAAAGATGTGGATTGTGGGAATCGGTTCCCGGTTGTAACTTCAACGGCTTGAGGTTACTCGCTTTAGGAATCCAAATGTCTTCCCTCTAATCGTATCCACCCTATGAAGCCCGGTTCCGACGACCTTTCTTCGCTAGTAGAAATGTCTCGGTTTTCTTGTATAGGAATATATATATAGATATAATTTGGGAATTATCAAGAACACTTTCTTGAAATATATGAAGAACACTTTCTTCTCTCTTTGATTTTCTCACAAAATCACTTCACATCTTTGCAAACATTTTGCATCTATCTATACTAAACATTTTAGCATAAAATAATCAATATTTAGTAATATTTAAATAAAATCAAATTTTATTTAAATAGTATTTACTAACCATTGACTTTGAAAATAATAAGATATGTTAAGTAGTTCAAACAACCATTAACAACCATTTTATTATAATCATATTTCTTATTTTAATCCTTAAATCATATTTAAAGATATAAATAATAATTGGATAATAAATCTTGAGAATCTTTCTCAA